CCCAGTGCCCCCCAGTCCCTTCCAGTGCTCCCCAGTCCCCCCAGTATCCCCACAACCCCTCCCAGTCCCGGCCGGGCCTCCAGCGCTCCAGGGCTGGGGGGTCCCCAGCGCCCCCCGGGCAACCTGCTCCCGCCTCACCGCCCCCACTTCTGTCCAGTCCAAAGCCACCCTCCTCCAGCTTCACACTGACTCACCAGGTCCTGGTGAAAAGCCTCTCTCCACCGTTCCTACAAGCCCCCTCCCACACCGACAGGCTGCGAGGTCTGCTCCAGGCTGAGCACCCCCAACTCTCCCAGCCTCTCTCCACAGGGAAGGTTCTTCCAGCCCCTTGACCCTTCCCCTGGTCCCCTCTGGACCCGCTCTGACAGGTCCAGGTCTGCCTTGTGCTGGGACCCCAGAACTGGATGTGTGCTCCAGGGCAGTCTCACAAGAGTTGAGGGGGAGAATTACCTCCCTTGACTTGATGGCCATGTTGCCTGTGATGATGGGTTTGCTGGGCTGCAAGCAGCCACTGGCAGCTCATGTCCCATCTGTCAGCTCCCGGCATCTCCAGGTGCTTCCTCACAGGGCTGAGGAGGGCTGGGATGGGGCAGGCAGGGAGAGCCTGGCAGCAGGCAGCACAGGGCGTTGTGGCCATGCGATCTCATGCATGAGGAAAGCGTGCAGCCCCTCTGTGTGCTCTTGCCTCATCCCATCACCCAGGTGCCCTGAAGACCAGGCTGCTCCCTCTTATCACCCATCACTGGGACAGGCTCTCTGGCAGTTCCCTGTCCCCATGTACTTCCAAGTCCCTGCTTCCAGGGATTGCACTTTTCCCCCATAATTCAGGGCTTGGGAAATTTCTTGTCTGTGCCTCCAGCAATGACCCTGGCCACCCTGAGTCATGGCTTGGAGATGTCCTCACCTCTCCAGTCCAACCAGCCTGGCCAGTCTGGTGGCGGTGATGCGGTTTCATGTGGCCGCACAGGCCACCAGCATGGCAATTAGCATGCCCATGAGCCACCAGCATCGGCCGCCTTTCCCAACTCCCCACAAGAGCCTGCTGCCACCACAGCAGGGCACAAGCCAACATTTTGACCTTTGCCAGTGGATGCCAAAACCTTTTGCCACCATTAGCAGGTCCTCATCTCCAGTAACATGGGGCTTTTTGAATGAAAAATGATGGGAACCAGGATGATCAGAAACATGGGTGGCCAGCGAGCACCAGACAAAGCCCATCTCTGCTGGGAGGGTCTCTCCAGGAGGGATTGGCACAGTTTATGGGATGTCGGTGTCACCTGTCCCAGCTCTCTTGGGTGACAGTGTTGGGGCTTGCACATTTTTGGTTCAGGATGAGGAGCAGCGGCACTGGTTGCTCTAGCAACATGAGATGCTCTCCTCCAGATGGAGACAGTATTTGGCAAGACTTGCTAAAAATACTTTGCTCAGCTGTGACAACACCACCCGTGTCTCATCCCACTTCCCCCAGGGCTTAAGCTGGGTCAGTGTTGTCCCTGCTGGTACCCAGAGCTGGCCCTGAGCCATTCGCCCTGGGGCAGGGTGTGGACCAGGGAGCTCCCAGGGTCCCACCAGCCACCCTGGCCCCAGAAGACCTGGCAGGGCCACCAGCACTGGTCCCTCCCCGGCTTGGCCAGCCCAAGCAGCTGGGGACAGAACAGGGAGCCAGGGACAGCTGGTGGCATTTACCCATGTGAAGGGAGTAGGGGGAGTTCCCTGGGGAGGGACCCGCAGGCACAGGAGGGCTGCTGGGGAAGGTAATGATTCTTTAGAGTTTAAATAGCTTTAAAAGGGTTTTTTTATGATTTTGCTGCTTTTCCTCTAATGCCATTACAGCCTTCTCCATGGCAACCAGGTGGGGCAGCTCAGACTTTGGTCCTGACGGAGGAGATTAGCTGCTGGAGCTGAAATGATGGGGGGATTGGCTGGGGAGGTCCACACTGGCCAGGACCACGGTGGGAGTAGGGCATCCATGGTAGGGACCCAAACCAAGGTCCCCGTAGTGGCTGCAGTGCCGTGGTACACTGGGATAGTGTGACATCCCAGCAGACAGGATGGGCTTACGGTGATGCTGGAGGGGGAAACCATGCTGCAGGGTCCAAGCATCCCCTGCCACAGGTGGTGGGATGTGTCTGGAGGAGATGCCTCAAGGAGGTTTAAAGGTGGAGATGGGTCTAGGTCCTCCCTGCACCACAACCACGTTGGGAAGGGATTTGCTATTTATGCTCTTTATTTTCCCTTTGCAGCCCATTTAGCATTTTCCCTGAAAGAGGGCTGTTGGAGGCAGGGATAAACCCACTCCCAGCCACAGGTAGGGCTCGTTTAAACTTCCCAAAGAGGTTTTGTGGGTTTTGGCTGGCTGGCCTGTGCTGGTTCAGCTCTTTTTAGCTTCCAGATTGATTACACCTTATGTCAATATGTGCTTAGTGCCTATTAGTGGGTGCATGTATCTCCATCTCTCATTTCTCTCTTCTGATCTATAATTTCCCAGAAGACAGGATTAAAATAGAGGGGGAGGAGAGTGCTGCTCAGGGCCAAAAAGAAAGGGAGAAAACAGTACTTGTGAGAAAGTTGGGTTGCAAGTCTGGAGCCTGGCCATCTCTCTCCAACATCTCTTCCCATGGGCACAGTCCTGCATTGGCCAGTGAGAAGGTTAGTTAAAATTGCCTGAGTTAAGCGGTGAAGAGTTGAGATGTGCTCTGCAGAGCTGGGGGCGATGCCAGGCTTCCATGGAAACGGGCAAGGTGGGAGCACGGTGGGGATGCCTGTGGCATGGGACTGGTAGTAGAGAGAAGCTCTGCTCCATCTCCACCTCACAGACCAGCACAGGGGGAACTGGGGCTGGGAAGAGCAGTCCTGGTGGGAGATGCGTGTTCCTGGAGGCATGGATGTGAATGGTGCCAGCCCTGTCCTGGTGCATCTTCAAGGAGGAATGGAGCTACCGGGACATCAGGAAGTGTTAGTCATAGCTTTTCCATCTAGTAACCACTGGCCCACAAGGCTCCTCTCCCTGGGGTACAAGTAGCTTTTTATTTTTTCTTTTTTTTTTTTCTTCTTTCCTGGAAACTGGTAAAAGATTCTGCAGAAGCCATGTGGGACGCTGGTGGGGAAATGACCTGGGACACAGAAAACAAGGTCACCAGCCTCCCCAGGGTGGTTTTGATGAGCTGCCAAGCAGAGAGCACAATGTGTCAGCCCTGGAGCATCATCCACCATCATGCCCGTGTATGCAGGGCTGGTGGAGGAGCCATGAGCTGGGGGACCCCAGCAGACATTGCCTCACTGGTGGGACGCAGGCTTTGCTCTCTGCTTCCCCTGTAGCACAAAAGCACTGAGCCGAGCAGCATGCAGTGCTCCCATCATCAGGCAATATATACCCCCAGGAGGGGACTGCAGGTTCAGCTCTGAAGCTTTTACTGCCATAGAGGAAAGTTTTTTCCCCCTTTCCCAACTCATTTCCCACTTGGAGCACTGTAAAACCTCAGGTGTTTCAGCCTCCCTCCCTGCTAATAAGGATAATCCCCACACCTCTAATCCCCTGTGTTATGTGGATGCTGCAAGCCCCAATGTGCGTTTTTGGGGTGAGGACACACCGGGCAGGGCAGGGCAGGGCAGGCAGTCAGGGAAGGGTCAGCACTGCTGCTCAGGACCTTCCCAGAGCCCAGAGGAGGGCCACGGGACAGCCTCACTGCTCCAGCAAATCCCATCTCCAGCAGGACCACCCTCCCAGCATAGCCGGTCCTCCTGGGCATCTCCTTTCATCCCCTCCCACCCTGAGCTGCTCTAAAGGCAGTTACAGACCAGGGGGGAGAAGCAAGAGAGCCCATCCCGGGGGATGCTCACCCTGGCTGCACGGGTCAGCCCGTGTCCCATCCCAGCAGCGGTGGGGTTAAGCCTGGCCGGGCGGGCAGCTGGACAGGCGTCAAGGTGGTTGCTCCATCCATCCCTGCGCAGTCAGCGGGGCGGGAGAGCAGAGAGGAAGCACAGCACTGCCCTGCCCGCCATCATGAGCACAGGCAGAGGTAAGGCAGGGGACCCTGCCCACTCACCCAGCCCTGGAAGGACAGGGGTTTAGAGGGGAAGACACTAAAATGCTGCTGGGGCTTCTCACTCAAGTCCTGGTCTGCTTCCCCCCCC